TTTACCTTAGTCATAGTTTCGTAATTTTATTGCGTCCTGTCAGTTTGGCAACATCGCACGGAAGCAAAATTGTATGGTGCAACCAATATATGGAGCTGACAAGGTTGCTTTTTATGAGGACGCAACAGTGGTTTAAAAATATATGAAAATGTGTATATTTTAAATTTGAAGATACAAAAAAACTACATATAGCCCCATCTATCAAATTCATTGGTGAACCAGTATACGCCTTAAGATCCTAGATATCTCTTCGTTTTCCTGGAGACGCAACAATGTATGATTTTGTACGGACGCAATAATGTTTGAGGATGTATATATATATATATATATATATATATATATATAATAATAATATGTAATTCCCGAGGTAATTCCTCTATTTAGACTTCATCTAATTCAATACAAAAAATTTGATACTGTGAACGTGGAATTTCAAAATATTCTCATAAAATTTTAGTGAATTTCGAGGAATTTTTAAGAAATTACATATTGGACAGTCAATGAAATTCCAAATAATTTTATGAAAATTTTGTGGAATTCGAGTGTATTTCAGTAGTGAAATTTTGGGAAATTTCAGTAAAGTTAAAAAACAATGATGGAATTATCATGAAATTTTGAAATTGAAATTTTAGTGGAATTCCAAGGAATTTCATGAAATCCTATATGTACAATAATTCCGGAAAAATGTTGTCTATGAATTCCATAAAATGTTCTGGTGAAAGGTTAAGGAATTTCTATGGAATTACTTAAAATTTTCGCGGAATTCCTATGAAATAACTTGAAATTTTAGTGGAATTCCGAAGAATTTCATGAAATTTCATAGTGTAATTCTGAGGAATTTTTGTTCAAGAATTCCATTGAATTTTATTGTGGAATTCCATGAAATCTTATGGCGAAATTTGGAAAAATATTATGGAATCTTATAGTAAAATTTTTAGGAATTTACGTTTTTCCCGAGGTTTTTCCATTCAAATTTGTCACTTGAATGGAATTTCAAGGAATTCCATAAAGTCTTCTGGTGAAATCCTAAGGAATTTCTATGGAATTGACCAAAATTTTCGCGAAATTCCCATGGAATAACTTGAAATTTTAGTGGAATTCCAAAGAATTTCATGGAATCTTATACCGGGTGCCCACGAAATCACTTTCCGGCTGCCATTTTTTTATTTATTTATCGATATCAACGAAACTTAGTAGAGTTGATATTCTAATCAAACGCCATTTTTATGCATTTATGACAAGTTTTCTCGACATCCGGTTTCACCGGAAATGACAGCAACTTTTGATTTTTAAATGGCACACCCTGTATATTTTTTGTTTTTCGGATTCTACAGATTTTACATCCTAATGCACCACTTTTGAATCGATTTTTGTCCAAATTTTATTTTTAAATTAAATTTTATTTTTTTAACTAGAGTGCCATGATCATCCTAAAATGACTACATACTTTACTTAATTTCAGAAAAATACAAACTCAATTTTATCTTTGTAAACTTTTCTGATAGAGGGCTGTAAACTCCATTATTTCAGTATTTTTGCCCTAGCTCAAAAAGTAGAATAGAAACATATCACTTTCATAACATTACTAAATACAGTATTTTAAAGCGAATCCAACGATATAATACAACTACCACATTTTTCTCAATTTTCGTTCATATACTTATTTTTGTAGGTAATTTTTTTTTCTACTTAAAATTTAATTTGAAAACGAAATTTGGACGAAACTCGATTTGAAAGTGGTTCATTAGGACGTAAAACGATCTGTAGAATCCGATAGACAAAAAATATACAGGGTGTGCCATTTGAAAATCAAAAGTTTCGGTAATTTCCGGTGAAACCGGAAGTCAGAAAAAGTTGTCATAAATGCATAAAAATGGCGTTTGGTTAGAATATCAACCCTACCAAATTTCGTTGATATCGATGAACAAATAAAAAAATGGCAGCCGGAAAGTAATCTCGTGGGCACCCGGTATTGTAATCCCTAAGAAAAAAAGTTCCAAGAATACCATTGAATTTTATGGTGTGAAATGTGACATGAAGTTTTTGCGGAGTTTCCATAGAATTCACATTAAATTTTAGTTCCTCTCGAACTACATGAAATTTCGAGAAATTACATGAAATTTCGAGAAATTACATGAAATTTCCAGAAATTACATGAAATTTCAGTAGAATTTTGATCGAATTACATGAAATCCTGAATGAGTCGCATGGGAGAATTCTAAACAATTACATTGAATAACATTGAAATTCCCAACATGAAATTTCAGTGCTCGTTAAATTACATATTTTTTTTTTTTAAGTTTCAAAAAATTACATGATTTCCGAGGAATTTTCGTCGAATTATATGGAGCTCCGATGCAATTGCATGTAATTCTAAGGAATTGTCAGGCAATTACATGAAATTTAAGTGGAATTTTGAACAACTCTTATCGTTTTGTAAGGGATTCTCCAATGAAATTCCGAAATATCCTAATGTAATTACATGAAGTTTTATTTTTGTTCCAAGGAATTCCCAGTTAAAAACAAGGCATTTTAGTGCAATTGAAATTCCGAGAAATTCTCATCGAATTACTGAATTTTAGTAAGATTAGAGAAAATTTCACAAGTGGAATTCTTGGACATGGAATTTCGGTGAAATTTGGAAAAATTCCCATGTAATGATATAGTTGGGGAGCTGGCGTCAAAAACATGCAAGAGTTTTCGCAAGGCGGATATTTTCAAAATAGGTCGTACTTTAGTGCTAGAATGCTAGTGTACAGTCAGCACTCACAGTTCCGGGACAGCTGGCTCTGGGACGCGGGCAAAATTGTAATTTTAATAAGCATCTAAACTGTTTTCTCAAAGCTCAAAGTTTATAGAAATTTTGCACATTATCTGTTTGAAGGTCACAGATAACGTACGTAAATCGTCAGACGTCTAGTTCGTTGCAAAAAGGGGGTCAGACGTCCTCAAAGTTTTTATTTTATGGCATTTTCTTCGGGTCCTGTCAAAATATATTTTTGCAGGTATTTGACAAATATATTTGAAGAAAATGCCATAAAATAAAAACTTTGAGGACGTCTGACCCCCTTTTTGCAACGAACTAGACGTCTGACGATTTACATACGCTATCTGTGACCTTCAAACAGATAATGTGCAAAATTTCTATAAATTTTGAGCTTTGAGAAAACAGTTTAGATGCTTCTTGAAATTACAACTTTGCCCGCGTCCCAGAGCCAGCTGTCCCGGAACTGTGAGTGCTGACTGTACACTAGCATTCTAGCACTAAAGTACGACCTATTTTGAAAATATCCGCCTTGCGAAAACTCTTGCATGTTTTTGACGCCACCTCCTGGACTAATATGAAATTTCAATATATTTCAGAGGAATTTAGGTGAATTTTCAAGAAATCAGTTGAAGTTTCATTATTATTCCCAGAAATTCCTGACTATACTTTCAGTGAAAGTCCGAAAAATTGTTATGGAGATAAATGAAATTTTGAAAGAAAATTTGAAGTTCCATTCGAGAAATTTTCAGCTAATAACGTGGAATTTCAGTGAAATTTCAAAAAATTCGCATTCATTTTTTTTTAAATTCCGAGGAATTTCTAAGAAATTACAGAAAATGTCAGTGAAATTCCGTAAAATTTTGTGGAATTCCAGGATATTTCAATAGTGAAGTTTTAACGAATTTCAAAAAATTATGGAATTTGGAATTTCTCGAGGAATTTCTATAGAATTTTGGAGAATTTCAGTGGAATTTCGAAAAATAAATAAAAAATAATGAAATATTCGCAGAATTTCCATCAAATTATATATAAGTAATTTGATTTTGTGTCGACTTACATAAAATTTCGATGAAATGTCCAGTAAAATTCCAAGGAATTCTTGTCAAAAATCTTATTGTGGAATTCCAGTGAAATTACATACAATCCGAAGAATTCCTTTGGAATTAAAAACAGAATTTCCGTGGAATTTCCATGGAACCACGAGAAATTTCGACGGAATTCCGAAGAATAAATTAAATTTTAGTGAAATTCTGAGTAATTTCTGTCGAATTACATAAAATCTTAGTGGAATTCCGTGAAATTTCATGAAATCTTTTACTGTAATTCCGAGGAATTTTTGTACAAGAATTCCATTGAATTTTATGGTGGAGTTCTATGAAATCTTATGGTGAAATTCGGAAAAGTATTATGAAATCTTATGGTAAAATTTCTAGGACTTTCTGTTTTTCTATTCAAATTTGTCATTTGAATGGAATTTCGAGGAATTCCATAAAATCTTCTAGTGAAATTTTAAGGAATTTCTATGGAAGTACCTAACAAAAATTTTCGCAAAATTCCCATGGAATAATTTGAAATTTTAGTGGAATGCTATTCATTGATTTCTTAGCAACTATTGAAATATAATTAAAATACCAGAATATTGAGTTTTGCGACCTGTCAACCGGTCAAAAATGCTGACATTTCTTGTCAATCGCAGAAAAAATATTTTATTTTAGTCTGTCAATAGCATGCCATTCCCTGGTAATATGTGATAATACCAGGGAAATACCTGGCAATATGTGGAAATATTTTGTTGATACATGGAAATAGTTGGCAATAACTTGTTATTAGGTACATAGAAATATCTGCTAATACATGGAAATATCTCAGTTAGTACTGTTAATCGGTGTGCAAATTTTGTTAGGTGAAAAACCCCTCGGTTCAATATGTAACAAGTCAACACAATCATTTATGTAGGTATGTTACTACACCACCAGTGTGCCTGTTTCCACTGTTCACCCTGTACTTTATAATTCAAAATACTAATCTGAAAATCATTTATACAATTTGCGAGTCTTGTCTCTGTTAAACATATTGCCATTCAAAGGATGATTAAAAGTAAATCAATTCTTCTTCTAAAAATCATCATCCGACTAGTGAAATCAGAAATGAAAGAATCAGGATGGGAAAAATGCAAAAACCGAGGCAAAAACGAAACAATGTTCATGAACAATTAAAAGTTAAGTTAGCTTACCTGAAGATAAACACATTAAAAACACTTGACAATTCGGTTTTTGTAAGTAATTCAAAATTGTTGGTCCAAAAAACATGACTTCGTCATCTGGATGAGCAGTGACAAATAATACTCTTCTGGCATGCCTCATATTTCTGGTGAAGCCGATAAGGCCCCAAGTGGATAAGAAATACAATAAAATGCATAGTGCCACATACAGGAGGATTCCGATAATAAGGTGCTCCACTGTGTCAAATAAATATTCCTCGAAACTAAATAAAAAATAGTTTGCGTAATTACTTAAATCTACCAAAGAGTCTTTGATGAAACTGGGGACTCTGATATAAATAAATGAAACATTTGAATACTGGAAATCGTCCGTCATTTCAAGGGAGTTTTATAAATAGAATCGCCATAGATTCTAGTAATATTTTTAGATGATTTCGAAATACGTACGTGTTTTGAGGTCAAATATTTGGGATTTCAATTTTATTTTGTGTTTGTGATAGGTTAGGTTAAATTAATTTGTATTTTTTTTTTTTTGTTTTTTAAAAGGGAAAATAGGGAGTGACTTCTGCACTGTCCAGACAGTGGTGACTGAAAACTATCTGCACTGACCAGACAATGCCAATTAAAATCTATCAGCACTGTCTAGACAGTGCCCACTGAAATATGTCTGCACTGTCCAGACAGTGCCGACTAAAAATCATCTGCACTGTCCAGATAATTTCATTATCATATCATATAAAGTTATAATTAAATTCAAAATGGCTTGCATTCCTTGCTGGGATTCAGTGTATTAATAGTTATTTTCAATATTTTTATATTAAGTGCGCAAAATGAGTTTTTTAATTATTAATGGTACCTCTGAGAGTGTCAATTTTCACAGGTGTCCAGGCACAGCCTCCAGGCCAAACATTTATTCGAAGACACAAAAGTCGCATACGAAATACAATCAACATTTTCTCCTACGAGCGTGCGCAAAGTAGTACTTTTCACGGAGAGCGGAAAAGTATATATCTTGAGCACGTAAATGAGCCCATAAAAGTACTACTTTGCACACGCTCATAGGAAAGATGTATTTTGTATACAACACTTTTGTTTATGGGCACCTTCGAATGAGTTTTTGGCCTCGATCTCACCTGTAAAAATTGACACTCTCGGCACCATTAAAAAAACACTCATTTTGCCGAGCATTTTGCGCACTTGATACAAAAATATCTATTAATACACTGAATCCCAACAAGGAATGCAAGCCATTTTGAATGTAACTAAAACTTTATATGATATGAGAATGAAATTATCTGGACAGTGCAGATGGTTTCTAATCGGCACTGTCTGGACAGTGCAGATGGTTTCTAATCGGCACTGTCTGGACAGTGCACAGATAGATTTCAGTCGGCACTGTCTAGACAGTGCTGATAGATTTTAGTCGGCACTGTCTGGTCAGTGCGGATAGTTTTCAGTCGGCACTGTCTGGACAGTGCAGTAGTCACTCTCTTTTTAAAAATCAAACCATTTTGTCATTTTTCAAATATTGACAGGTCTGGGATATGGATGAATTCGACTCTCGGATCGAACAGTTAGAACAGTAATAGCGCTTTCGACTTTTGCCTCAAAACCGCACCTGATTGATCAAAAAGCGATCCGAAACGGATCCACATGTCATGTTCGGCTAAACCACGCTAAACGGAGCGTTGCTCTCGGCGAAATTCACGTGTTCAACTTGAGCAATAGAACACTCTCAAATCTCGCATGGAGCGTTCTTTCGTGCTCCGTCAAATTCAAAGAATCGAAGGGTGCGTTCGAAATCACCCTGGACGTCACACCGAGTGCACACCCAGCTATGAATTAGTAGTTGTCTTCCTTTCAAGAGTTTAAAATACTAGAGCTACTCGCTTCGGTGTTAGTCGACCCCAATTTGAAAAGAACAGATGCACTGACTTTCATGCATTTAAATGGTTTACTTTGGGCTTGAGTACTCAAGTGCAACAAACACTTTTCGAAAGGAATAAGCGTGTAACGCCCCGGAGCTGTTCCGGAGCTCCTCATAGGTATGAAAGGAATACAACTATTCATGGCTGGTGTGCACTCGGTGTGACGTCCAGGGTGATTTCGAACGCACTCCTGGAACTAGTTCGGAATACAGTATGTGAACCGCGTAGTGCGAACAAAGCTAATGTCAAATTCAAATGCAAAATCACTCCCACAGCTGTCACTGTTTAGTTTTTAATCCATATTTTTCTGTGTACCCATCATACCAAATTCGAACAATTTTTTTTATGCGTTAAAATGAGCGTTTTAAGGGAAAACCACGAAAATATACCAAAAGCATTACCACAGGCTGCAAATAGAAAAGAAATTACTCCCGAAGATGTGCTTAGATTATCGAAAATTACAGATAGATACCTTTGTGACCCCGATGCTAATATTTATGAAATAGATTTTACAAGGTAAGGTGTTTCATTGAATTTTCAGGCAATACAAACATTAGCTAGTAATTAAATCGGCGTTGGATCTAGGTCTATACATCTAGCAGTCGCACAACAAAAAGAAAATTGGGACCCATGCAAAAATCAGTTCATAAATTTTTTGGTCTTTTTAGTTTTCTGAAAAATACATTAAATTACACAAAAATTAATGCTAGGGATTACAAGGGCAGGCAGTCCCATAGAAAAATGCATTGCACTAAGTTTACATGGAGGGGGAGATAACTCCGCTTAATCATTGTACAGGGTGTCCGAATTTGGATGGTTTTAATAGGAAACGTCAATTTCTGAGGCTCAAGTTTCTTGAAATTTTGATTGGTGCAAACCGCATTTTGATATCTTCAACCGTTTAGCCGCTAGAGGGCGATTCTCGATTTTGAGCAATACTGTGAAATCTTCATAACTTTTTTGTTTATAAAAATAACTGATTTCTGTAAAAACTTCCTAGAAGCACTTTTTCAAGCAGAATTCAGTGACGTTTTCAGTTTTTTTCTATTGGGCCTCTATTTCAAGATATTGACCAAAATCCGATTTTTTCCAATGGGACACCCTATATATTAATAGCTCATTAGAAAGCTCTGCTTTTGCTGATTTCAATGATACAAATTTCGATATACAGATATAAAGTCCTTTTCGGTCCTTTTCTTACACATGGACGAGGAGATTGGTGGGAGAACGTGCGAGATGCAGTCGGCTGTGAGCGAGTGGTTTCTTGCAAATAATCTGATTTTGAACGAATCAAAAACCAAAAGGATGGTATTTTCTCTCAGAGACTGTGAAACGGATCTGGAGACGGAGGATGAGGTACGATTTCTGGGAGTAATACTGGACTCCAAATTAAAGTGGGATTGTCATATTGACAGTCTTGCAGCTAAGATCAGCAAAAGTGTATTTGTCCTCAGGAGTCTCTCAAATGCTGTCTCCAATAAAATACTCAGAACCGCATACTTTGCTCTTTGCCATTCACTTCTCTGTTACGGTATAATTGTATGGGGGCGGGCGGCCAACGCTCATAGAATCTTTGCTCTGCAACGAAGAGCTATAAGGGTGATAGCTGGGTTATCATACAGGGAGGACTGTCGGAATGCGTTCGTCAGACTTGAGATCTTGACAATGCCATGTGTCTTTATTCTGGAGAATGTGATTTATGCCAAAACTAATATAAATAAATTTAATGCCAACAGTGACTATCACAACTACGATACACGCTACAGAGATAACTTAACTACTCCCTACTTCAGACTGAAAAAATGCCAAAATGGTCCAAATTTCCTGGCGGTAAAATATTTTAATAAATTTCCCAAGGCCCTTAGAGATCTTCCGCTAAAGCAATTTAAAGAAGAAATAAAAACTATCCTAATTACCAATGCTTTTTATTCATTGGATGAATTTGAGAAGAGTGACCTGTCTTGTTAGCCTTTTTAGTTTTAGGTATTTTAGACTTGTTTTAAATCTGTTGTAATTGTTTTGATATGTAATTTTATTTTATTCTATAATTGTTTTGTAAATGTCATTTTATCTTGTGACTTATCTATAATTCCATGTGTGTGGACATTTATTTATTATTGACTTGTGTAAGTTTTGTATTTTAAACATTAGCATGAATAAAGAATCTGAATCTGAATCTGAATCTGACATTACTTCTTATGACAAAAACCGAAATAATTTTTTTTCTCGAAAACTATTAGAGATAAACCTATCGAATTTTATATCATTGAAATCAGAAAAAGCCGAACTTTCTAATGAGCTATTAATATATAGAGTATCCTATTGAAAAAAACCAGACTTTGGTCAATATCTCGGAGTTGGGACCAACTAGAAAAAACTAAGAACGTCACTGAATTCTGCTTGAAAAAGTGCTTCTAGAAAGTTTTTACGGAAATCAATAATTTTCATAAACAAAAGAGTTATGATGGTTTCACATTATTGCTCAAAATCGAGAATCGCCCTCTAGCGGCTAAACGGTTGAAGATATTAAAATGGGGTTTGCACCAATCAAAAATTCATGAAATTTGAGCCTCGGAGTGGGGGGTTCATTTTTTTGTATCTTGCTCAGAAATTGACGTTTTCAATTAAAAGAGATGGACGATAAAGTATGAAAACATTCAGATTCCCGCCAACATTTGCTTGCTTGTCAATGTCAAGTGTATAGGGTGTTTAGCAATCCCCTGGTTTTATTCTAATCGGTGACTCCACCAATAAGTTAGGTATCTTTGTTCAGTGAATGAAAAATGACAATGACCGACATAGAATGGTGAAATTTGAAATTGGAAAGAAAATGTAAGAAGCAAACAGCTTCCGCAAACTAAACTTGAACGTGGATATCTTTGTATACTTGATGGGCGGTGGATTTCCCTTACTTTTGCGAGTATCAATTCTGATTTTGTGTATCCAAATTTTGACAAATGTAGGATTTGATAAAAACTTATGGAAAGACACGTCCGCTGGTGAATAGGAATTATTTTCACGAAAAGGCACACTAGACACAATCACCATTGTTAGGAAAAAACCTTGAAAAAACCGAGGAAATAATAGTTTCCAGTCTCCCACGTATAAATAGAGCAATAGTCCTTCCAATTATCGCCCCATTTCTTTACTCAGCACAATCTCAAAATTAATTGAAAAAATTGTTAAAGAACAGCTAATGCAATATTTAGACCGACATAATATTTTAAATCATGGGCAGTTTGGTTTCCGGAGTTCCAAGAGCACGAATGATGCAATTTTTGCATTTTTGGAAAAACTCTATTTGAGTCTGAATGATGGAGAAGTTGCGGCGGCAGTGTTCTGTGATTTTTCAAAAGCTTTTGATTGCGTAAGTCACGGAATACTGGCGCGGAAACTTCATCATTACGGCATTCGGGACACTCCTTTAAACTGGTTCAACTCTATGCTCACAGAAAGATATCAGTTTGTGAGCGTAAATGGAGTTAACTCTGAATGTAATAAGGTTCTGCATGGGGTTCCTCAAGGATCCGTCTTGGGCCCAATACTGTTCTTAATATGCATAAACGACTTGCTATCACTGCCAATTGTAGCAAAATTAACAGCTTTTGCTGATGATGCAAACAGACTGTGGACCACCAGAAAATCGAGTTTGGATCAAAACTTAGACCAGTTCAAGGCAACCATAGAAGCCGATCTTTTGGAGATAAAGAAATGGTGCGATACAAATAAACTTTGCTTTAATGTACAAAAAACGAACATCCTAACATTTAAGTGCAATATAACAAATGTTAAGTTGCAGGACGAAACTCTCAAAAGCAAACCATCCGTGAGATATTTGGGACTGCATATTGATGCACTCCTCAAGTTTGAGGGCCATATTGAAATTTTAAATAGAAGACTGGCTAGTGCATGCTATATTATTAGGACTATTGCGCACGAGCTTGGCAAAACTACTGCAAAAAATGCATATTTCTCTATAATGGAGTCACACATCTGGTATGGTATAGCTTTCTGGGGCTACTCCACTAAAAAATCACTCCAGGCGGTGTTTGTTCTTCAGAAGAGGGTTGTGCGTTACTTGTGCAAGAAAAAATGCACAGAATCATGTAGACCGTTGTTTGTACAGGAGGGAATAATGACAGTGCCATCTCTTTTTATATTGGAATCGGTGAGCCTTGTCTATAAAAAGAATGCCGGTTCTGTTCAGGCGAGCAACTATAACCTCGGACAAAATAATGTACCCTTACCAATCCCTAAATTTACACTCACGAAAAATTCAGTTATTTATGAAAGTACATATTAAAAAGTACAATCATTTACCGCAACAAATTAAAGAATGCTCTAATTATAAAGCATTTCGTTTGTGTGTCAAACAGCATTTAACTACCAAAGCCTTGTATAGTGTAAGTGAATTTTATCATGAAAATGCATTATGCAATACTCGAGTGGAATTTGGGTTTTTTAGGTGTAAATGTACTTGTAAAAACTTCGAAATTTTACTAATTTTGGACCGAATTGTGTATTTGTTTGTTTAATAAGGTTCAATTTTTTTTATTTTTTTAATTTTTTTTCAAGACAATTTTAGCTTGTGTTAGGTTAGGTTAAGTATTTGCTTTGTCAATAAAAATGTATCTGTTTTTTTTGGACAATAAAGCTTATTTGATTTGATTTGATTTGAAAAAAACTCTTGTCAACAAACCACTGTCAATAGCTGTTAAGCATTGTTTTCATACTCTTTTGGCGTCTGACAGTCTGACGCCAGAGAGAGAGGGTTGTAAATTGAAAAGGTCAATTGATGTTTCCTATTAAAACCATCCAAATTCGGACACCCTGAGGGTATCCCACTTTGGATGTACCATCGTCACCAAAAGTATTTTTGACAATAAAATTTATATAATAATACAAGAGCTGATATGATACTGTCCCAGTAACTTTTGGTGACGAATGACAATGGTACATACATACATAAAGAATAACTCAGTTGTGTGATTGAAATGATGACAATGGGTTCTTATAAATATTTCTTCATAGATTCCAACGGGTCAGTCAGTTCTTCTCTAGAAGAACTGACCTTAGGACCTGTAATGTTATTTGAATCTATTTTGACCTTTATTATTGGACTTATACTTATTATGTGATACTTTATTTTTTATTTTTCTTTATTAGCTTTGTCAACAAAACTTGATTTTAGACAATAAAGCATATTTTGATTTGATTTGATTTGAAGTGATAGTTTTGAAATTATAAACCAAACATGAGACACCCTGTATATTTATAATTCAATAGATTGGTCTGCTTCTACTGATTTCAATGATATACACACAGATATACATTTCGATAGGTTTATCTATAGTTTTCGAGATTTTTTTAAAATTATTATTATTATATTATCATTGTTAGTTAACAATAGTGAGCAGTAAAAATAAACCGATGAGACTATTGTATTGATGTTACTAAACTAGCAGTGTTGAAATTTCTATTTATACATATTAATTGGTATGGTGTACAGATGATGTTGTCCATTCAGCCTTTCACTGTCCAGTCTGTTTTTAGACAGGTTGACTGAAGATGCATTTACAGTGTCCCTCCACACTCCAATTATAAACTACTTGGTTGGACAAAAAATGTCTACCCAAAAGCCTGGCATATCTCTCCTTACAGAGTTTGTCGTTATAACTGCTTACATACTGGCTGTCACTGAACTCAAACACACTTATAGTTCATCGATTTTTATCTGACACTTTCTGTATGGGGCGGGAGGGGGTGAAGTATATGGCAAAAACAGGTGTCACATCAGGTGACCATTGGCATTCTAATTTAGGGTGCCACCAGCTCACATTCCTTCCGAGTAGCCATTGAGGTAGTGAGTATCAGATTAAAATCGACGGATTTTAACTGGCACTTGTGTTCACTAATTATTTTGAATGTCTCCACTAGATCCTCACACATTCGTCTCTCATAAAGTGTAGGTAGGTTAAGTCTCTGCAACCTTTCTTGGTATGGAAGGCCCCAAAGAGCTGGGAAAATTTTTGTTGGACTTTTTTGAGTGCATTATTGTCCTTGACATAATAATAAGGACTCCATATGCTTTGGATATACTCCAGCCTGGGTCTTATGTAATAGCCTTGTACAGCTTTACAAACATTGGGGCGTGGGATCTTTAAATGCCTTGGTCAAGTACATGTAGAGTTTAACCCGGGATCGGTCGCGGTGTTAGAAAAAATCTAACATTTTTAGTTTTATGCACATAAAACTTTGTATAGTGGCGTTAGGTCATTCTCCCTCCCGAAGTGCCTGGAAGAGGTCCTATGTAAGCTCATGTCAAATCAGCATTTAGCTGGCTCAAAAGGGTTAGCCATATCGGGAAGATGACTTAGATGTTAGTTAAACTCTAATACGCGACCTCAGCGTATATAAGTTTACGCTGAGGTCTGTTAGAAAAAATTAGAGGGTTGTTAGAAAAAATTTAACTACGCGACCAACTACGATTGAAATACCAAGACTAACGGCCAATTTCATAATCAACTTAAAGTAAACTTTAAATTTAAGCCTATTTAGCTAGTTAGTTAGTTACTTTCAATTCTCTATTATAAAATTGGCCGTTAATTACATTTATCAAATTTAAGTTTAAGTTTTGAAATTTTTTTTAGAGTTAGATAAAATCTAACATGCGACCGATCGCGTTATAGGAAGGGTAGCGACCAATCCCGGATTAACTTCTTTATGATGCCATTGATAAAGTTTTCCTACTTCAGATCTTCAATGACAACAGTTCCCAAATAATTTTGTTCAGCAACACAGATTATCGAATGTAATACCACAAGAGGTTTCAGGATTACCGGATAATACTTTTACCTGTCACGAAACGCGTTACGCAGCAACACCACGACTCCGAAGGAGGAGTGGTGTTGCTGGTAACGCGTTGAGTGTCAGGTAAAAGTATTAGGTAAGCCTGAAACATCGAGTGGTATTCAAAAGGTTATACAACGAACTAAACTTTAATTCTTTTTCAATTAATAATTTCATGAATCAAAAATTTAAATTTTTTGTCAAAAAATGTCAAAACACCAGTTACCGTGCAAAAGGATTATCACTTGTTAAGCCTCTCGTGTCATATGGGAAGGATTATCACTTGTTAATCCTCTCGTGTCATATGGGAATAATGTACAGTGAGTTGTATAACCAATGAAATATTGCTCCTGGAGTTATATTTGCCCAGGTGGTTATCCACTGTTTGATGGCATCTATATTCCCATAGGCTTCCATTCTAAGGTACTGTTATTCTAAGAAAAACAGTACCTCTAAATGAATCACCCATTATATACAATGATGAGTAGAGGGGGATACTACTGATGTGAACAAGGGAACGTTCTGATTGTGCTTTCGAGAACGTTCGCGCACGGAAAAAAGGTTCGTGCTGAATATTACCTTCGGAGCACGATAGAGAATATTCAGCACGTGTTCAAGCATGATCTTAACCAATAAAATCGCATGACGCCAACTCCCAGCCAATAAGATGTTTTCGAAAGTGACGTGACTCTTGCACCCAATAAAATCACTCTAATGCCGTAAATCGCTGACACGTTGAGACAGGTTGATGCGCTCCGCGAAAAACAGTTGTTTATTTTTTGTTGTGGTGTGGGGTGTGATAGCATGTAAATTAAATAATACAGGTAAAGTCCGTCGATTTTAATCTGATACTCGGAATGAATGTAAGCTGGTGCCTGATAGCACCCTACACTAGAACGCCAATGGTCACCTGACGTCACACCTGTTTTTGCCATATACCTACTTCACCCCCTTGCTCCTCATACGGAAAGTGTCAGATTAAAAACGACGGACAATACCTAACCTGTGCTGCGTGTACCTTCTGTGTGTTAAATTATATAGAATGCCGAGATGAAAGTGTAATGCCTTTAACTTTTATACCATTAAAATACGAAATGGAAACAACATTTATGCATGCAAATTTTGCCAGATAGAATATACCCGAAAAATTAGAATAATTATTGTTGTCAAAAAAACATGACACGAATTATGAGATTAATTATTATATTTTCCTAAGAAGTTTGAGAATTTTCAGCATATTTATGAAGAATTTTCAGAATATTCAGAACTTTCACGAGAAATTTGGGATTTTTCGGAAATTTGAAAAAAATCAGAATTTATTTAGAAAAATGTTTTTTTTTTTAAATTCAGCTGCTGATAAGTCCGGGTCCTGCTCGTTTTTGCTCGATTATTCTCGTTAATTCTCGATCATGCTCGGAGATCGTTCTCCTAAAATACTTGCTCGAGCATTTTACATCACTAGGGGATACCACTAAAAACTTCACAGGAATTTGACTTCATGGACCCTATTCTGACATAGAACTATCAATCCTGAAAAAAATCTTGGATTAGGTTGAGTAGAAGTCCTCTTATACCATAGTGACGGTGTTTATGAAGAAACCGCCCAAATGGTATACCTGTTAAAATATTTTTGAACATCCAGGTAAAATACAAACTGGCCAGAGTTATCTGCCCTTGTCCAGTCATGAACCTTGGTAAACAGGTTCGTGAAAGTGGACCCTCCAGGAAGAAACTCGTGTTGGGAAGGTGGGATGATCATATTAGATACCGGGTTTTTCTGCATGCATTTGCAAAGGGTGATTGTAAATAATGGGCCTATAGTTTTCAGGCTGGTGTTTGTTGGCTTTCTTGTAAATAGGCACTACAATTGCATTCTTTCATTCCCTTGGTAGTTTGCCCTGCCTAAGAAGATTGTTCGTCATGGGTGAGAGGGGATGTGACAGAACTGCAGCACACTTGTTCAGGAAAAACTGGACCGAGGACTAGACTAGAATTTCGCTTCAGTGATTGGAGTGCAGTCTCATATGGCCTAGATCTTCTCTTGTAAAAGCACTCTGAAACTGTTTGGCAAACAAATTCGCAACTCGTTTCTCATCATTGAGGGTGCAGTTAGTCGTGTTACTATGAACCAATCAAGAAACCAATGACCACATTGTCACCTATTTGTATACTTATGATAGGTCCGAGATACAAGAAGGTCCCATGCCCTAAAATGCAACATTTAAAAAAAACACCTTGTACTTATGTGAAAAACGAAAAGGACAATGACAATTCTGTTGATAGACACAAAATACAGCAGACTTGAAACAAAGTCTTGAGGTAAAACATTAGCAAACGGTGAGAAACTGTGGATCATTAATCAGTTTAAATCTCCATAAATCCCACACAAAATCACAATAAATCAGCTTAAATCATATTAAATCAGCTAAATTTTTTTGTAAATCTCCATAAATCAGTTGAAAAGAATAAATCTGGGTGAATCAGTTATTAAATCTCATAAATCAGTAAAAATCTTGGAGTGATTTTAAATCGGTGTACCTACAAATTTTGAGGAGTGAACCGCCCCTAGGTTTGCATGCTTTGCTTAGAAAAGAAAAATTTCTTCCAAAAAAAATTCTATTTAATTTTTAATTTAATTTAATTTTTTTTAATTTGTTTATTAACGGACTTGCCATTTAGCTTTTACAATCTATCATAAATTACATTCAATGCACTAAAATTACAATAACTAAAATACAACTACAAAAAATAGAATAGGATAATTAATAGATTCACCCAGCCTTTCCAGTAATTTGATACAATTTAAAGAATTAACTTTATAAGTCTCTTAAAGCAAGCAAGATCGGTACAGAAAAGATCAGCACTACCACACTTTGAATTTGCCAGCCCACATATTCTGGACATAGGACTATTTAACCCATAGTTAGTTCTATGAAAATCTATTGCAAATAAGTCATGCTGACGGGTTAATCTTTGGGGTACTCTAATATTAATATTACTTAACAATTCAGGGCTATCAATCATGCCATTTACAATTTTGAACAAAGTAATTATATCAAATTGAGTCCTTCTAACTTCCAAAAGTGGTAAATTCAACTTTCCATACAAATGTTCATAATTAATGTCTTCCATGGGAATTCCCAATTTAAAATTTATAGTTCTCAAAAATCGTCTCTGAACCTTCTCCAAAGAATCTACATAAACATTATAATATGGAGACCCGGCTGGACTAGCATACTCCAACACTGACCTTACAAAACTACAATATAGTGTTCTAAAACACGTGACATCACGAAAATCAGCAAGTGTTCTATTTACAAAGCCTAACATTTTTATTGCTTTATTCCTCATATAATTTATATGGTAATCAAACCGCAGCTCACTGTCAATATAAACTCCAAGATCTTTTATAACATTTACTCTTTCCAGTTGCTCATTATAGATTTCATAATCAAATGGAATGTTCTGTTTTTTTCTAGATACGGTTATTCTATAGGAATCAAATGCTTTCTGATACCTAATCCAAGATAATTTGTTTTTAGGTTCAAAATTAGAGACTTAGAAAGTGGGGCAATTCTCTTTGAAATAGCCAAACCAGTTAATATAGACAGCACTGCAGAAATCAATTGTGAAAACGACGAATCGATTGATCCGAATTCTGGAAGATTTGTACGCTACCAGTTTACACCGCAATTTTTAAAACTGAAAACCGTAGGAGCTACGTAAGTTTTTTATAATATTAGAAGATTTTTTCTAAATATAAGAAAAAGGTATCCTCAATGCAACATAAAACTTTGCTACAAATAACAGGGAATATTAGCAATTGAGATTAGTTTCCAGAAGTAGTAATAGTAATTGTTTCTCAAGCAAGTAAAAGTGATTTTTACGCCAGTATTTTGTATTTCATGTACCTACTTTTGTCTAGCAAAATCAATGGCAACTGTTTTTCTTTCTTAGAGTGGAATTTACAGTTGGGTCACACCCAGTCAACAAATTTAGGATGATCGAAAGGCACTTCTTCAGAGACAAGCAATTGAAAACTTTCGATTTCGAATTTGGCTTTTGCATTCCGTATTCCAGAAACACATGCGAGCATATTTACGAATTTCCCACTTTACCACAAGAACTGGGTAAGTTACCAATATTTTATTATAATAAAAATATATTAACGAATAATTTTTGTAGTGAACGAAATGATAGCTAACCCATTTGAAACTCGGTCAGACAGTTTTTACTTTGTGGACGACATTCTTATAATGCACAATAAGGCGGATTACGCTTATAATGGGGGCGTGCAAACATAGCCACATCAAATTAAATACCCATTGTGACGCAATAAATGAAAATAATAATCAAACGTATTTGTAATGATATTTTAATGTTGTTTTGTTGGGGCGCTAAATTTATTAAGCATTTATGTTTGAGTGCAATATCTTATGAAATTTTATTTTAGTTCAAGCTTGAAAATGTAGAATAATTTTTAAGTTTACACGTTTATTGTAAGGAAATTTGGCACAAATTATTTTAGAAATAAACTGCTCATAGACTTGTCAGCAGAGCCAAGGTTTTCGTTATTATTAAGATTCTCCTAAGTGTCTCAGATGTTTTTTTAAACTGAACAAATTTTATTAATGTCTAATTTCATGAGCAGTTTATATAATTTTAAGAATTTTTAAATATTTACTATAATCATAAATATCTCACATTCCGCTTTTGCAAGAAACAAATAGAAGGCATTTTTGTAATAATCATGATTTGCCTTTAATCAAAAGTGCTATTCTGTAAACACCTATTAAATAAGTTTTTTTGATAATGGTGTTGTAGTGGCTTTCCTAATTGCAAAAAAAAATATATAATAATGAACGATGCAGACTGAATGAGAAATGTATACCTAAGTACTGCAATTATTAATATGGACGGAAGTTTTTAGTTGTTTATTTGTTGAGAAATTGAACTGAAAAACTGGATCTCAATGCATTAAAAAAGAAGATTTTGAATCATGACTTTTCTAGGTATTCATTTTGTACTGTATTTTCACCAAATATTATAATGTTTACGGAAAGGCTAATGCAAATTAAAGACATTTTCCTACAGAAATCACAAACTGGCACAATTTTATTTAGTTGGAAATTGGCTCCAAGTGATTTGCAATTTACTTTTAAAGCGAGACTAGAGAAATATTGTTCTGGATGTGTTTGAAGCCAGCTGCTTCTTTCTATTTTGTGCTTTACATTAATGTGATATTTTTAAAAAATGTACGCTTATAAAGGTATTCAAAGGAGGACCTGTGACATGTATTATGTTTCTTATTTATTGTGTTCTTTTTTTTTTGTTCCATATTGATGAAATAGAAAAACCTTCAAAAGCTGATTTTTATTTTTATTATTAAAGGTTTGAGCAGCAGTACTACACGCATAAAATCAAAAAGAAGTCGCGAGTCGCGGAACGCAGAAAAAGAAAATCAACTTCATAATAGGTATCTATATTTATTAATAAATATAAAATGATCAAATATAGTAGAATAATTATACAGGGTCGCTATTTAGAACCAATTAAGTGACTCAATATTAAGAGGGAACATAAATTATTAGAAACAAAAGGATTAACTTCTCAAATGAATAACCCTTATACAAATTCAGGTAGATTGATTAGAGGATGGAATAAATCCTCAATGAAAATTAGGTATATAATATAATTCCCTTTAATATTGACAACACTGTTTGGATCTACTATATACAAATTATAATTTTTACAATATCTATTAACCTATACACCATAATTATTTCTTAAGGAATTGCTCTTAGGCAAATATGTTTGTACATATTTTATTTGAGCGCAAAAAAGTAAATTCTCTGTCAAGAGCTATCCTGGATTGAAATATGTGACTTCACTGAACTACTTCTGCTTTTACTCCGACTCCTGGACTTTGAATAGGACCTATGTTTTGATGAAGACCTTGGCCTTTTAGATTTTTTTTTCGATTTTGAATGTTTTCTAAAAAAAAATAAAATAATTGCCACAGTCAAGTAAATGCAGCAAGTCAAAAGACAATTTTACCTTTTATTCGATTTCTTCTTCTTTTCCCTCCTTCGCCTGTCTTCGCTGTCTCTATTCCTGCTCCTACTTCTATTCCTATCTTTATCTTTATGTTTCTTATGCTTTCTAGTTCTCTCTCTCGATCTGGATCGTTGGGAACGACTTTCTTCTTTCGACCTGCTCCTATGTCTACTTGTCAATTTCTCTTGGATATTGCTTTTTTCCTTTGTCTTACTTCTAGATCTAATAAAAAATCAATTTATTTGAATTTATTAAAGTTGGCAAGGACTTACCTGTCGCTGTCTATGGAAGTCCTTCTGCTACTAACTGAAGGCGATCTTCGTGAAGTTTTCTCAGATTTTACTGGTTTTGACTCTACAGACTTTAACTTCAAAAACATGGCAGCTTTGCGTTTTCTCTCCAATTGACGAGCCTTTTCTATAGCATCGGACGCTTTATCATCAGTCTTTTCATTCATCTCCAATTCAATCATTTCCAAAATAGGATCATCTGTTCCTAGCACACCATTTTGAGTTTTGTTCTTTTTATTGTTATCTCCCACATCGAAAATATCAATAGTATCTGATTTTTGCTTTTTTTCTTTAACATCTTCTACATGTTTTTTAGTATGAGTTTTTGAATCTGACTTCAATAGTTTTGGTGATTTTGAAGGCGATCTTAATCGCTTTTTAGGGCCTTCTATTTTTGAAGCAATGAGAGATTTATTTTCTGATTTTGTTGGAATTATTGGTAGTCTCTGGTTTTGTGGTGGAAGCTCTGAAGTTACATTATTTGTTGTATTTTCGACTTTTAGTTTAAATGCATTGGAAACTGTTTCAACTTTGGTATTGTCTGAATTTATAGGGCTCTTAGGTTTACTATTAGGCTGACTTTCTTCATCTGAGGAATCCTCCATTGGTAGGGCACTTTTAATTTCTTTTGGGGGCTCTTCTTTAGGCTTTTTTATTGAAAAACTAACTGGTGTTACAACTTTTTTGGGTTTAGTTTTAGTGGGTTTTATAGCATCCACCTTTTTTACTTGAACTTTTTTTGGTTCTTTCAATTCTCTCAATTTAGTCTTGTAATATTTGTTGAATTCATGGCTAGCATTTAGAAAGTCAAATCTCTTGTCACCTTTTTGTTTAATAATTTCCTCGAAATTTTCCCCATTCTTTGCCACATATTCTGCCATTTTATCAATCACAGTTTGCATTTCATCAGACGGAACTCTGTAAACTTCTTTCTTTTCTTCAAGCTGTTTCCGAACCGGGGTCTTACTGTCTATTTCTGAATCTGAACTATCCGAGTCTGTGTTTGATCCTGATCCATATGCAGCAGCCAAAGACAACAAAGGTTTTTTAACTGTAATATGTAATTTATTTTTACATTTGAATTTTAGAGAATGTCTATTGAAATGGGATTCTTACCCAAAACTTGTCCTTTTAAACTTGAGTCACAATTTTTTTGTTACAATAAGTATGTTTATAAAAGTTCCATGAATGAAGAAAACTTACCTTCAATATCTTCATACTTAACAAGAGTTACAGTTTTTTCTCCAGTATTTGGTCCATTTCTTGGTTCTTCTGTTACAACTCTTTGTTCTTCTTTCACTACTGGTACTAGTGGTAGCTGAGGCATGTTGGCAGTATAAGGATTAACACCATCTTTGTTCAAGTTTGACACTAAACATTTAAAGATTTTTTTTTTAGTTCAATAAATATGAACCAAAACTTTTTACTTACCAATTTGTGCATAAGAATTATCATTAGCCTTTTTCTGGGCCTCTTGCGCCTCCTGTAGCTGCTTTTGCTGGTGGTGCTGCATGAATTGGGCCCAGGCCAGCTGATGGATGTAAGTTTGCATGTTAGTGTCCAACTGACTGAAGTCTAGAGGTAGACCGGCATATATTGCTGTAAAAGAATTAGTTTCTGATACTTACAAGTCTAAATTGGTTTAAGAATATAAATGGGGAATTCATTAGGATAGTGTTTAGGACTATTCATAGAATCATAATCAAATTTCAATCCTTATATAAGTTTGTTGTTTTTAACTCTTCTATAAAAGAAATAGACAAAACTTACCACCCTGTTCACTATTAATCACTGAATGCCTCCAATAGTCATAGAATTGCTGAACATAATAAAACTGATGGTACTGTTGCTCCAAGCTCATCTGATTAATCAATTGCATTTGATTGGGCTGTTGCTGTTGAACCGTGACTGTTTCCGATTGGCCATTAGCTCCAAGTCCATTTCCCTGGATCCGGTTTACCAGTTGAGAATAAGCACAGTCCGCGGATGGTCTGTAGGGGACACTAGGAATGGGCGGATTTTGTTGGGGAGGAGAGTCCTGATCGAGAAAAGAAAAAAGGTGTTATTTTGGTGGAAAAGTGTTTTAGAGGTGTGACCCTAAAAACTAAGGTCTTGGCTAAAGAAACAGTGTTGGGTCCATATCAAGTATTATCCAAACTGTTGGCATTTTGGAATTGAAATGTTTTATTTAGATAATATTTGATATGGAAATTTGCTCCAATCACCATCAGAAATCTCAAATCTGGTCAAAATTAATGCAGAAAATTTCTTCGTGGTCTCCTCCGAGTGGCACTTGGCTTCTCTCTGATGGCTCTTGACACTTACCCATAATAAATAAAAATAAAGGTGAAAAAATAAGAGTAATTAAAAAATGGGCATTTCCAAAATTTAATTTAAAAGAAAAATTTTGAAAAAAATCCGTCTGACTTTTAAAACACTGACATAAATGGACCTGTAACATAAAATAAAATATTAACTTTTCAATGATTAGTTTATGGAATACTTAAATCCAAGATTCCAGGTCATTCAATGTTTTTCTATGGTAAAAGCACCATTGCAATTTGACTAAAATACCTTTTGCGTTTTTGTTAGAAATTAACAAAAACCCAATTAAATAAAGCAAAAATGAAATCACAAAATTGACCTAAAACCTCGAGATTATACAAATTTGATATATCGTCGTTAATTTCACTAATGGGCGTATATTGAATTTCTTAAATTTTACAAGCGTATATGATATACGCTTTTTAGGAAGATGCATATTTCTTGTTCCAAAACATACGTCTTAAAGAAAAATGTGTATAACTCAGAAACTACTGGTAGTTCATATGCGTTAATTAGAGGGCGTATAAATTTGATGTTTTGCGACATAAACGAAAAATCGTCTATTTCTCATATATGTCCTTTTGTCAAATTAACGACGATATGTTTATACTTTTACCTGTCTGCTACACTTTGAGACACTTTTGTTTAGATTAAAGAAATAGGTAGCGTTAACAGTGTCAACATGGGGCAAAGCCCACACAGCAGCTTGGCATCCCTAGATCACAGAAATGTTTTTTTTTTTTCTTGCTAAACCTTTATTTTCAAATTAAAGGCCTGTAGTCAAGGAACTTGTGTATAGTATTTCCTGTTAGCTCCATTCTGATATTCCTAATTCAATTATTTAGGATTCCTCGTTCAGATTAGTTTGTCTTTTGTTAGAATTTTGATTTTATGTTATAGTGAGAGAGGTCAAGGATTTATTACCTACTTAGATACATGGGGAATATGGAATCATTGGTCCTTTTATACTATTTTAATGATGATAAATTTGATCTAGCACAAAAAAAACAAAAATACGATTCATGCAAAAAATATAGCCTGATTGATAAACAAAGTGTACAGAACCCACTATATGAGATACTTTAGGAAATTATTAATTTTAAATATAAACACACAATAAGTTATAGAATTTAAATGGCCATTGAATATAAAAACAGTAGAGTCACAAGTAAGTACATGACGGACACAAAAATTAATAAAAGACTATGAGTAGTACCCAAGCATTAGCCAATTTAATATCTTGAAAAAAAAAAAACAATGCAATGAATACAAATATTTGGAAAGAACTCTTGCATAACTAGAGTTTTCAAGAAAAATGTCGCAAGAAAGGATGGAAAGACTAGCTAATAAAATAGTATTCAAGAAAATCAACTTATTTGGTTCAAATAACAGACAAAATGTCAAACCTTGGAAGTTCAAGAAGACGCAAATAAATAAAAGACAAGACACCTGGAATGACAGAGATTGTGACCCATGAAAAGGACATGTTATTATTGTACTGTACCTAATAAATTCCTTAAGTTGAGTACTGATCACAAATTTAATTAGGTACTACATAACTAAAACATCATAGTTAGTGATAAAAATGTGTTTTAGATTTACTTGTTGCCAATAATTTAATTCAAGTGAAATTGCAAAAAAAAAAAAAAATTCAAACTAATTTATTACCGAATTTTATAAAATAGCAAAAGGCAAAACGAGTGGAATATTAAGTTGAGTTTTCCTTTAAACCAAAAGATAATTGTCAATGATAACACCACCACAGCATCACTCACAAACAATAAACATTGTCTAACCTGTAAAGTCTTTAAAACTACAGAAACCAAATGTTCATTAGGACTAAGTCTGATCAATCGATTGCCACCTACCGGTTTGGTGTTTGCCGATAAACTCGGGTGTAGGTAGTGCGAATCTTTGCCTTCTATTTGGGAAACTGTTGCTGGTTTGTCCTCATCTGTAACAAAATCCTCTTTTGTTCTTTAACTTTAAAGATTTGTATAGAACACTTACCACTTTTTTTGTTATCACACTGAGGCTGGTACCTTCCATTCTTGAATGCAGACAGTACATGTCTGTAAAATTTATACAAAGGGTCTTGTACTGTCAAAAAACTAAACTGAGGATTATCGGCCTGTTTTGCTTTGATAAGAATTTCCATTTGGAGTCCTTGACGACAAACAAACAAAGCTGTTTTTTCAATTCTTGCATATTCTTTGACAGTTTTTGGCTAAAATATGTTGCAATTAAAAACCTAACTCCACATTAAAAATAAAACATACAATATTTATATTAACAGGTACATCCAATATTGGGGAGGCCTTATAAGGTTCATCCTCTTCTTCCTTCTCTGGAACAGTTGGTATACCTTCAGTCGGTTGCTCAGGTTCCTCAGGTCGTGTGTCATTATAGTCGAAGGCAAACGCGTTTGTTTTCTGTCTTTTAGCAGCTTCCTCCTTATACATTTCCTCTTCTTCCTCGTTAATTTCCAAGGAATAATATCTTTCCTTGTCACACAGTTCTTCCAATTTTTTTTCAGATTCACTAAGTCCGAGCCAACGTAGGGTGTCATAACCTTCCCGGCCAGCTTCGAATTGTTTGAGGTCTGATAGAGTTCCTCTGCCATCATATCTGGGTAATTGAATTTTGAGTGAGAAAACTTTAAGATTGATGTTCCTTATTAAAGGAGTCAGAGAATGCAAAACCACTTATAGTTTAAGGAAGGTGTAAGGATCTTAGTAAGATTGACAAAGAACAACAAATTTAATGCAAGTGCTTCTGAAAGATTCAGGAATCAAATCAATTTAATTACCTAAGGATCTTCGATCTTTTCCATTTAATTTATTTTATTATTTACGGGAAAAAACCCAATTACAGTGAAAATACATATGAAATGTTTTAGCTTAACAATAATACTGACAACAATCAAACTAACATCACAATGTATAGTGTGAAAATATCACAAAAGTGAACCATTATAAGAATTGTCCCTTGAACTGACTGTGGAAATGTTGGTACGTAGAAAACATGTCTATTTGGTCAAGAAAATTTGCCAATATAGAAGCCCTGGGTGGAGCATAAAAGGAATGGTTCTGTCTAGTTTGCTTTGAAGGAACGTGAAGACCAATTTTTCAAGTAAGATCAGGAGCAAAACTGTGAGAGTGCAGCAAATGGTAGAACATTGTAAGGTCCCGACAACAATCAAACTAACATCACAATGTATAGTGTGAAAATATCACAAAAGTGAACCATTATAAGAATTGTCCCTTGAACTGACTGTGGAAATGTTGGTACGTAGAAAACATGTCTATTTGGTCAAGAAAATTTGCCAATATAGAAGCCCTGGGTGGAGCATAAAAGGAATGGTTCTGTCTAGTTTGCTTTGAAGGAACGTGAAGACCAATTTTTCAAGTAAGATCAGGAGCAAAACTGTGAGAGTGCAGCAAATGGTAGAACATTGTAAGGTCCCCGTGAATGCGAACAAAAAGTACCAATATCTAGATAGTTTTCCATTTCAGAATAGTTGATGTTTTCAACTGTATGACGCTCTTTGAAAGAGATATACCTCAAAAGCTTATGCTGCACTCTTTCAATAGCCTGGATATGGAAGTCATAATGAGGAGACCAAACACAAGAACAGTAATCAAGGTGTGAATAAATGTATAGAAAGTCTTTAGTACAGTGCTTGATGAAACCCAAAATTTGAAGAAATTTGGAGACAGCTAATGATATTTAAGGTATATGAGACTACAGAATAACTCCCAAATCTCTTATCTGAGAAACAGAATTCCGCGGACAACCACTCACAGAGTATACCCGCTGGATGGGGTTTCTGCCACAACTGAAAATCATCAAATGTCACTTTTTTACCATTTAATTCCATTCCATTTGGATTACACCAACCAGACAGACGATCCAAATCATATTGTATTTTTAAACAATCTTCAGTTTTGTCGACTCTCATGTAAAATATTAAATCATCAGCCAACATTAAAAAACGGGTGTATAAAAAACAGGACGAAATATCATTAACGCACACATTGAAAAGAAAATGGCCAAGATGCGAACCATGAGGTATGACTTATGGGACTCGGATTTCACATGACGTGTAGCTTTGAACATGTACTACTTGCGTTCTACCAGAGAGATAAGATATTAACCACCTTAAAAGCATCCCGAGGGGGTAACAACTGGTGGCAATACATGTACAAATTGTATAGCATTACAATGCATTACTTGCGCATTACGATGCATTACTGGAATTACAGGTATTATGGTGGCATTACATGGTATTACCATGAATTACGCTGATATTCTAAGGCATTACCTATGAATATGGCGGAATTACGCTTGTATTCAATGGAATTATGGTTGATCTAGCGGTTGATGAATTGAAAAAAAAGTTACAGTAAAATATGTATTTGTTTCGAACGGAACACCCGATATATTATCATCATTTTTGGATTCTACTCAATGTGCTTTATCTAGATTCGACTGTTTTTAAGCTAGAAACAATTGAAAATTATAAGCCTTGTTCGGGTTCGAAAAAAAGACGGTTCTAGAACGGTTCAAAACAATCACACAGTTTATTATTGAAATTTGTGATAGACGAGACTGTGTCATTTTGTTGATTGATAGACTGTGCGATTGTTTAGAACCGTCATTTTTGCGAACCCAAACAAAGCTATGATCTAGAAATTTCATATAGCCTCACGACAATGACGTACAGTCTGTAGACAAGGCTTACATTTTTTATGGACCAATAAAATCATCGTAACAGAACCATTTCAACTCTTGAGACAGGATAAATCGAGGGATAAATTAACCATTGTAAAACTACCAAAATGGAAGACAATATGTATTTAACAAGTTGAAACGGGTTTTGCTGCATGGGGTTTTTGTAAAAAAGATTACAAGAAAAATTTAGCATTTTATTCAGATTTAGAACCGGTTTATTTACCTTCTGATAAACTGTCAGGTAGGCAATCTGACGGAAAAAAACGTAGTCTGTAATCCCATTGTTCGGCCAGTTATCGGCTGACCAATAGAATTATAGAACGGCGAATTTTTTGTGCAGATAATTACCAGCAAGTTCGTCTGAAGATGAATAACCAGAGCCTTAGAAAAATAACTATCTATAGAATAATAATAAATATGTACTGTACAAATTATAGGATGTGATGTTTGTTTTCACTAATGTATAATGGTTTGTTGTTCTGGTCAGTTTATGTAAAATTGTGAAACTATTTCATATAGCCTAGGTATACATAATTATAATGGCATTACATAAAATTACATGGCATTATATGTAGTTACTGGCATTACATTGGAATTACAGGAATTACTCATGTAATGCGCAATACATGTACAAATTTTGGTCCAGTTGTTACCCCATCGAAGCATCCCATGGATCCCTTTTACAGCCAATTTTTGAATAAGTATTTCATGGTTTACACGATGGAACGCCTTTGTAAAATCGATGTATATGACGTGAACATGAAGCCCCTCCCCCAGGGCCTCCAACAAAAAGTTGATAAATATGAGCAGGCAGTGTTCAGTCGAGCGAGTGCAGAAAACCCAAATTCTTTGTCAATAAAACTGCTTCTCAAATTCTTAGCTAGAAAATCACAAACAAGGCTTTCAAAGACTTCAGGTAAATATACTAATGGGCCTATAGTGATCAGCTTGCGCTGTATCTCCTGATTTCAGAATAAGCGTAATAAAGCTAGTTTCCAGAAAGTTGGAAAAAACCCGTTGTTTAAACATAGATTAAAGATGAAGTGATGTGGTCGTGCCAGTATAAGGCTACATTGTTTTGGAAGATATGGGGGAATCCCATCTGGACCTGGACCCTTGCTGATATCTAAGGATAACAGTTTTACATTTTCAATGTTACAACTAGCAAATTATTATGACAGAAAGAGGGGACATTGTGTGAAACATTACCGATATTTTCAGAGTACATTTGCGAAAAATACTACAAGTATCGCTGCCTGATTGTTGATGAGTGGCTCTGATTCAGTCAAATGATAAATACATTGAACACTTATGTAAAAAAATATCATCAGCATGCGGAAGATTCAGCTGTCTGTCAGTGATTGAACACTTATGTAAAAAAATATCATCAGCCTGCGGAAGATTCAGCTGGGCTATTATAGCATTGATAACACTGATTCTCAATGGTTTACATTTGGCTCTTAATGCAAAAAATAACTTATAGGTATTCCATATAAAGTCCAGTTGAAACGTACCTATTTTTTATATGTTTTTTTCTTTTCGATTATTGTTTCCTTCAAGTCTTGAGACAACCATGCAGGAAAATTTTTGGCAGAGTACTTTTTTAGAGGCACAAAAAGGTCTAGAGTTAAGTACAAAACATCATAAAATACATTATCCAGGGATTTATTTATGAAAAAAGAAAATCTCACACAGCTGTAATGTCCATGGCATGAAAGTCTCTATGGAAACCTGTGATTCCATGGTTGTGTCGGAACTTGTACCTAATATTCTTTCGAACCGGTATTAGTACCACACCCCTTCTTGAGAATACTTGTTTCGACAGATCTGTCCCTTCTGCAAATATTGAAATCAAACATTTGAAGATCAGCATCTAGGAAGTGTTCCGTTCACCAGGTTTCATTAAAAACAGAGTTAAAAACCAAGATATGGTATTCAAAGTAGTTACTATCTAATCCACCTGCAAGCTAATCTACAGGCTATGTAAATCACCCTGTATAGGTATAGATTATTTATTTCGCAATTGATTTTGCACAATAAATGAACTCAAAAATAAATTATTCATATTTTGGAACAGGCATAGGTATTGATATCCTCAGCTTACAGTCAGCTTTCTTTTTATTTTGGTCCACCCACAAAAGACAAAGTATATACTTCCTAAGCGGTATCATGAGCAGAAAAAATTAAGTGACGATAAACACTGTGTTAATGTCAAATCGCTCTGGAAATGAAGTAGGAGGCCACCTTGCATTGTTGGAGAGATTGCAAGGATTGCAATGAATCGGTGAAAGTTGGATTATCAATAATTTTGATTGCTTTCCTTTGTACTGCATCTTATATGGCCAACACTCGGGCCAACGCATGCTTGGGAGTATCGCCCTCATATCGTCATTAATTTCACAAAGTGACGTATCTCAAATGAGTTTTTTTTTGAGATACGTCACTTTGTGAAATTAACGACGATATGTGGGAACCAATGACATGTCCTCGGAGTAGCCAACTTTACCACTTATGGATAGGATGCCTGTGAGGTTATTGTGGGTCCTAAACTCGGTCTTAAATAACTTCTCTTAGCTGGAATGAGGCTGGCCAGATCTCCAGAACATCTTCCATGGCGTCTATGTTTGAGAGATTGCAAGGAATTGGCGGGAGTTGGATTATTGATTAGGTATTGCTCTTTCTTTGTACTGCATGTTATAGAGCAAACAAATGCTTGGTGGCACCACTCTATATATGGGAGCATTATTCCATACATGGTCTGATTTAAGCCTTATAAAGGAGAAGTTATTTTTCAGAAGTAAAGAAAGTTTTTTTTGCACAAAACAAAAATCCTAATTTTTGAGAAGCACTTCTGGTGTTCGAAGATACTTGGTCATGCCAAGACAAACAAGTTGGTTGATGCACCCCGAGAAGAAATACGATAATAAGAATAAATAAGAAAGGTTAAGTCCCGACAGCCTTAAAACTAGGACTGGGACATCCTTAAAACTGAGCTTATCTTGATAATATGGGCATTTAAGTTATTTTGTAAGCAAGATTCTATTTGGGGCTCAATGAAAGAGGGTGCCTCTTTTTCCTGGTCGTAGGTTACCTACCGAGTTACCTACTTAAATGACTGAATTATTTGAATGTGCACCAATAGATGAACGATGAACTTCAGGCATATAAATATTTATTTTCAGGACATATTAATGATAATGATTGGGTATTCGCTTATCTGTAGTTACTTCCACAATTTGAAATACTACTTTAGGTAATGTTACGTTACTTACCTGTCTATCTTCAAACTTATATCCCCCATCCAGGGTATCAAATGCTTGCCCTTATCAATGTAAAGGGCCTTCTCATCGTCCCTAAATATTTTGCACGAGTATCCAAACACCAATAAATCATCGGGGTTTTCTTTTATTCTGTTTTTTCGCAAAATGCCGGAATCAGAGGTGCCCCAATTCGACATTTCGCAATAAATTATTTTCGGTGGGGCCTAAAAAAGCACACACACGCACATCACTTTAAAAAAATAGGAAATCGAAATGGAAATCCATTGAATGATGAATTGTTTTGAATTTTGACTTATGTCTAACCTTGCGTTCGGTATTTTGCTCTAATAGCAGAGCGAGCTGAGCGGAGCCGTAATCACGTGACCAGCGAGCGAACAGGAGCAGTTGAACGCTCTATCCGAGTGCACGAAATAATAAATGAACGCAAATGAGCTACACCGAGTACACTTTTTAAATAAACGAACGGTAAATTCAAGCTCGGAGAACTCAGATCAAAATACCGAACGCACGGTAATGGTGTGTTCAAACAGCATTTTTTTGGAACGGTGCCCGAATCGTCAGGAACAAAATAAAACGTTTTATAAACGGCCGAAAATGTTAACAAAACACACTAAAATTCTGAAAAAAAAGTGTTAGGAATTACTGTTGTCTGATAAGAGCCTACACATCCACACGAACTGTAGACAGCACACAAAGTTTTAACTTAAAGATGTCTTTTTTGAGTCTGCGCGTTACGTCTGATTCGTCTGAATGTCTATAAAGACCAGAAAAAGACGTCTGGAAGCCGTTGTTTTGAAGATGTCTTTAAGAACCAGGATTAAAAAGTTTATACATTGAAAAGAGATTTAAAGACGTTTCTGAGATATCCTGTTGAAGACGTAGGTATTTAGAATGTCTTAGTCCTAAATACGACTTTAGGCAGACCTCTGAAACATTTCAAGATGTCTTCAGGACACCTTAATGACATAAGCCTACCCTCCAGTCTTGGGAGCTTGCCTCGTAATGATTTTTCTAAAATGAAAAACTACTCCGTGTGTCGTGTCATACCTCCTTTGAAAGGTTTTCTATTCCTCTTTAGAGGCGTGACATTCCAGCTACAATATAGAACATGCGACCACTTGACTCTTCATTTGGAAAACACAAAAACAAATTTTGCCTGGCAAAGTTGAAGAGCATTCAACTATTCCATTAAAGCCCCATTAGGCTGAATTCACTTGAAACTACGTTGTGCAACTAACACCCAACAGCAAATCATAATTCAACCATTTCTTGCTGGTATTCGGTAGTGCCCCACTGCTACACTTACCTTTAATAGTATAATCGTGTAACAAATGAGATCCTAACCTATTATGGTGAACGGCTTCCCCGGGGGACACCAATTACCAAAAAGAAATAATCAAACTAAGTATATGATTTGTTGCCCTGGATATCAGCGAAACGCAACTTCAATTGTTAAGAGGAAGTTATTGAAAACATCTACAGCCAAATGCTTAAAGTCTAATACCAAACATGCTCAACTATAGTAGCTTTACCAAAATTCTGATTTGAAGGGTAGTTAGGATCATTAGCTTAGGTAATAATATTTTTTTTAATAACGTATTCCTCCAGAATAGTCTACTGACGAATGACGAATATAAAAATAGATAAGAAAAGAAAGGTAAATTATATTTTCAATTATGAAACTTGTATTTTTAAAAAACATTTATTTTATTAATTAAAATACAATGGTGACAGAAGAAAATATGTGGATCAAATTGCTACGACGTAAAAGTCGAAAACAAATTAACCTGACTCTAATTACTATTAGTCTGGCTAAAAAATAATAGAATGAGCTCCAGGAAGCTCTGTACGCTGTAATTATAAGAAATAATTGCTGATACCAGCATTTGCGTTGGCGGAATGGTGGTACTTGCAGTGCAGTAGTACCGCTAAGTAGGCAGTTTTTATTATTATAAGTTTTGACAGAGGCGTACGCTTATAATTAACATAGGAAAGGGGAATTATTAGTATAATGATAGCAAAGGGCTATATAGCTTGTTTACATTACCCTGGTCCCTTTTTTTCTTACTTCAGTGATGATTCATCAATTAGGTATAATAATATTGAGAATTGAGATAAACAAATCGTTCCATCTTTACTTGCTAAAATGCACAAAACATCACTTTCATATTGTTTCGAAAATGTAGGTAATGGAAAACCTTTTGAGAATGATCATTATTCGAGTGGCAAAAATTGCCGAAACTAGGTAGGTACTTATAGTGCACAATAATTATCATTTTTTTATGTAGGTACTCACTGTATACTTACTTATTATGCATCAGATAATATGTAGGTACTATGTAGATATATAACTTTTCAATCGATCCACACTGACCAAATACCAAATATCTATACGTCTAATTCGACGACGTCAAATGAACGCCTCATAGACGTCTTAAAACAGGGCTTTTCTTCTGAATGGCTCATATTGGGTTTTACATGGTAACTTTTGAACCTGTTGATTGATGTCATGGTCAAATAAACTTCCATGGTCCATTACGTGACGTCCCAGACAAGTCATATTTTGCAACCTCTTTCCGACGTCGAATTTTGGTTAATCGACGTAAATTTATTTAAAATCAACGTCATAACGACTAATAACCTTTGCTGCTTGGGATGTTTGTTGGATTAGGAAAAAAGACCTGCTGAAAAACATCCTCCAGCATTTTAAATGTTTGAATGGATTTGGATCAGACGACTTTTTCGCAAATCTGTTTTTGAATTAAAATTGTATTCGCTAACATCCAATGTTCTCTATCTTAGGCTCCGTTTATTTATCTTAAGATAAACTTGCTGGTAGGTAGCTACTTAGATCTTTGTAGACCATGACAGCAAGTTATCCAAGGAAGTGCTAAGCTTCTCAGATAAAGCTGCAGCGCGCGAGAAGCAGCCGTTTTTTACGTCTATATGACGGTTGAAGTTGTGACATTTGCACTAGAGAGAGAAAACGCGTTCCTTGGACGTTCTCAGTTACGTTAACTGACATTTTAAAACGTTCTCACGTCCAATCGGATTTCTTTTCAAGACGTTTCTGTGCTATTAGGATTGTTTTCTTGTACAACTAGCTATTATTTCAATAATACATCAGTACAAAATATAAATAAATAACAAACAATGATAAATATTCTCAACACGTTTATTTATCAACGAAAAAAATAAATTATTGAAAATCTATTCTGTATATCACATTAAAAGTAAGAATACACATACTTTTCCTAAATTATTTTTCCGTCAAGAGACTAAATTGACGTTAAAACTAGGTACAGTAGTACTAGTAAAGTATGACTTATTAATTAGTAATAAATAGAGTAGTATTGTGCAGTACGAGGATTATTTTATGGTTGTTTAGTCAAATTTGAGCAAGAGTTTACAAAATGTCCCTAAACAGGTGTATTAAAATTTGTACAAAATTTAATATTTCAAATGAAAATGGTTGGATGAAAAGAAACAATACTTAATGTTTTTACTTTTTATTTGTTCATTGTGTCTGCATAGGTGTTAAAAAGTAGGTAACCTATCATTGAGCAAAGTTAGTATCTTGTAGGTATTCATAAAACTATGGTGTTTTTAAAATTGAATAGACCATGCCATTTTTCTCCATCAAATGCATTAAGACCGATATATCCACATGGCAGTTTTAGATTTTATGGAAAATTGTATTGTGTATCAATGCATTAGATAGCAAGCTTAATAATATTGGTCCAAACAAAACACGGACATCATAAAACACTACAAAAACACTAAAAATACAAATACCAAAAGCTCATAAATTGTATCACAAATTAGTTAGAATTTATTTACGTGCAATGAATACACTGGGAACGCCATGCAGCTATAACTACCTAACTATTAGTTAGTATGTAGTATAGTATTGTGAGTTTAATCTAAAAAAGGTATTGCTTGATATAATTCAACCTCCCTGTTTACATCTAGTGTGAAGTGCTTAGATAGGTCTTCTGGGTGACACCTACTATTGCAATTTGGAATCAAAATGTGTAGGTGAGTAGCGAAATTCGATTTTCTAATAAAATAACACTTCTAAATAACAAAACTATACATCTGTTTCTCAAAACATAGGGTTAATGCGCTGGAAATGAGATAGCTGAATAGCAGCAGCACCTACGTTGCCTGATAGTTTCTCACATTTGTTTTTTAAAAGGTAAGAGCTTCTAAAAAGTCAGGATCACATTCGCGGCTTAGTTTTCCTGGTAATATTCAAGATACTTCGGCGATTTTCGATTTCTTTTAGGTTCTTTGAAATGTTTCTGTTCTAGCTCTATCTGCTTCAGAATCAGAAAAGTTATTCGCTGCATTGGTTGATTTAGTTCATCATCTTGAATAATTTCAGAAGATGTTGAGCTATTTGAACCATTCAGAAGAGTGGCGTCTCCTCTTGGTGCCAAATGTTTCACTGAAATGGTAGCTTCTTTCCCATCATCATAGCGTATCCAGGATTAGCATCTATAAGATCTGCTTCTTCAACTAAAGGATCATATTTGCTTCTCCTATTTTATTTTTTTACAAGAACTTTCTGTGGTGTTGACAACCAAGATGGAATAGATGTGCCACTTGTAGATCTTCTCTGGTAGGTATACAAATAATCTTTCACGAGGTGTGCAGTTAGTGCTGGTACACAGAAGCGAGCGAATCAAATGTAATGCATCTGGAAGGACAGTTTCCCACTGTTCACTGTTGCTGTTTGATGGAAGCAAAAGTTGAACCGCCATCCTTATTTTCAAACTGCACTAACAAATTGTAGACCTATCATCACCAAATCACGCAGAAACTCAGCTGAGGATGAACAATTTATAAAGCAGGAGATCAAGAATCTTTTGGAAGAAAATATTATTGAACAAAGCAATTCTCCATGGTGAGCTGAAGTTTTAGTCACTCACAATGAAAATAGCAAATGACGTATGTGTATAGATTATTCACAGACCATGAACAAATTTACTCTACTAGACGCCTATCCGCTTCCAAAAATTGAAACATTAGTCAATAAGATTTCGGAATATGAAGTGTTTAGCAAATTGATTTGAAAAGTGCCTATCATCAGATACCCATCAAAGAACAGGATAAACCATACACAGCATTCGAAGCTGCTAGTAAGTTGTATCAGTTCCGAAGAATACCTTTTGGTGTAACAAATGGAGTGGCTTGCTTTCAAAGGGTAATTGACTCAATAATTTCAGAAGAAAAATTGACAGACGTTTATGTTTATTTGGATGATGTAACCGTGTGTGGCGAGAATCAAGAGAAACATGATCAAAATTTGAAAAAAATCTCTAGAAGCCGTCAAAAAAAAAAAAAAAAATGAAGCAATATCTTAGGCTACACTATAGAAAACAGATCTATGACACCCGATCCGGACTTTCGCCACTTTTGAACTTATCGGTACCCAAGAGCACAAGTGAACTTCATCGAGTACCTACTAAGAATGTTCTCCCATTATTCTAAATGGATACAGAATTTTTCAAACAAAATCAGTAGTCTCGTCAGCTGTAAGTATTTTCCTTTACTAGTAACTCAAATCCTGGATTTTGAAATGATAAAGACAGACATTGCAAACTCACTCCTTTGGTCAATAAATGAACATGAAACTTTAGTTGTGGAAACTGATGCATCAGAATTCTGTATAGCCGCGACTCTGAGCCAATCAGGAACACCTGTAGCTTTTTCTCAAGGACCTTTTCTGAATCAGAAAAAAAGCATCCATGTGTAGAAAAAGAAGCGTATGTATGTGTAGAAGCGTTAAGAAAATGGAGACACTATCTCATGGGACGACATTTCAAACTTGTGACAGATCAGCAAGCAGTTTCGTTTATGTTTGATACAAACCGGGATATAAAAATTCTAGTAAAATTAAAAATGAAAAAATCATGAGATGGGAACTTGAACTAGCTTGCTACAGCGACGATATCATTTGCCAACATAATGTCATTTTGACTTTTATCTTAAAAAAAAAAAACGGACTTTACATCAAGATTTGTTGTGTCATTCGGGCATTACTAGGATGTATCATTTTGTCCGAGTGAGAAGCCTACCCTATTCTCTAGAAGAAATTAGAAAAATGACTGAAGTGTATCCAGTGTGCAACAAAATCGAACCAAAATTCTACAAAAAGGTCCACGCACGGATCTTATGAGAAAAAATAAATTTCACGATTGTCATGAAATTGAAATATGATATGCTTCTCGACCTCCTAAACGTAAATTCTCGTTGGCCCAAAAAGATCCTATGATTAGTTTCGGAGAAACAGAGGGCCGGATTAACATAAAAATTTTGACAAAAAATAAACATTTCGAAATATGTTGAGTTTAGGCAATGACATATTCTAGGTTAAAAACAGGTAAAAAAAGGTAAAAAAAGTCAAAATAATGTCATCCGAAGCTTTGTAGGTTAAAAGCTTGTCGAAAAATGTCAAAAATATGTCATTTTTGGTTATGAATTAAATTAATGACCAAGTGACCAGGAGATTCTAGAGATTTTTCTTATGCTAATGTTTTTTTTTATCGGTCCTGTATCTCCGAAACTAATCATAGGATCTTTTTGGGCCTACGAGAACTTATGTTCAGGAGGTCGAGAAGCATAACATATTTCAATTTCATGACAATCGTGAAATTTATTTTTTCTCATAAGATCCGTGCGTGGTACTTTCAATAGCCACCTGATTAAAGTTACAAAACCATTTAAAGCGCCTAAATATCGATTTCAAAGGACCCCACTATTTTCAAAAGGTAATCATAAATACATGCTTACCATTGTGGACAAATACAGCAGATTTCCTTTTGTTTTTCCTTGTTCGGATGTCACAAGTGCAACTGTCATAACGTCATTGCAACCCAAAAGGACATGGCAAAGTAGAAAGATAAGAGTATAATTTGGAACGCAGTATTATTAGCTCTTGAAACAAGAAATTACTCAATTGAACAGTGGGAAACTGTCCTCCCAGATGCATATATTACATTCGATTCGCTCGCTTCTGTATACCAGCACTAACTGCACACCTCATGAAAGATTATTTGCATACCAGAGAAGATCTACAAGTGGCACATCTATTCCATCTTGGTTGTCAACACCACAGAAAGTTCTTGCAAAAAAATAAAATAGGAGAAGCAAATATGATCCTTTAGTTGAAGAAGCAGATCTTATAGATGCTAATCTTGAATATGCTATGATGATGGGAAAGAAGCTACCATTTCAGTGAAACATTTGGCACCAAGGGGAGACGCCACTCTTCTGAATGGTTCGAACAGCTCAACCTCTCCTGAAATTATTCAAGATAATGAACTAAATCAACCTAATGCAGCGGATAATTTTTCTGATTCTGAAGCAGATGGAGCTAGAAGGCCACAAAAGTAACAAAAATGTAGCTATATTCCCAAATAGTTTATCCATCCATCCATGTTCCCTCAGTACTTGCAAACATGAGATCGCGGGTGCTCTACGCGATGTAAAAAACCAAAAAATCTTAGGGGTTATGCTTCCTACTCATAATTTTAATTTATTAATCTGTTATAGTAGGCAGTGTTCCCAAACTAGCACATTGACCCTAAACTAAACATTCAATGCTAAAACTGATGCTAGAACATCTGAAAAAATAATACGTTCAATACTATACCTACTTCATAAACAACATCAAAGTAAAAAAATAATCATGCATCTATACTAGCAGCTCAGTCTTCATTTGGCATACATTTACCAATCCGTAAGTTCCTATTGAGTCAAAATGTGTTTAGAAAAGTGTGTCAATAATGGAATAGTGACATTTTGGGCTTGATATGTTCTGAGTACAATCAAGCTTACAATAGTTATTTAAAAAATAGTTAAACACGCACAGCTTTACGTAACAATTGCCTGGTATTATTTCAGGTTTTTAAAGACAGAAAAGAATCTCCCATGGAAAATGTATCTAAACAAAACGCAAAGCAGCAAAAAATCCTTTTTTCATTTTTGGTTCTTTCCTGTTTTTGTACAGGTTTATTTTTGGTTCAAAAAATTGCACTGTAGTAGAACAGAAAAACTAGAGCTACTAAAGCCAATAATATACTTATTTGTTATTGTCCAAGTAATTTGCAGGTGATCCAGATCTATTTGAAGAAATAATTTTTGAATGTTCAGCCACACTTATCTTATCTTTGAGCAAGTTGAATTTTGTTTGCATCATTTTTAATTGCACATTGAGGGTGGAGCTAAGTTGTTTCTGCAGGTCTTGTACCTGAATATTTTGTTATTATAAGTACTAATTTAATAGTTTATTGATTTAGATTACCTCCATTATTTCTTTTCTCAAATTTTGATAATTGTCCTTCACTTCGCCGACCGATTTGAGCAAGCTGTTAACTTGAATTTCTTGCCCCTTTTCTGAGAATATCTCCTGCTCGATATTTCCTACTTGTACGGCGAGGGTGTCCATTCGAGCATCAGTGTTTTTCATCTGAAAATAAAGTGCAACTAGACATTTTTTTTAGATTTAATAATGTTAGTAGGTCAACATAAGAAATAATGCACTTTTGACCCAAATTACATAGGAAAAAATCTACAAGAGCAAACTACCTTATTTTCTAAATCCTCAACTGCTTGCTCCATTTTCCTTTTGCCTGAAAACCTAAAAAAAAATCGGAAAAACACGGACTTTGATTTCGGTATTTTGATGATTTGTTTTGTTTGGAAATCAATAATTACCTAACCTTAAATAATTTATGTGTCAAAATAATATGAGGAAATACGATTTTTATCTCTTTCTTTCTGGAAGCATTAGTAAAGGAGACAGATATTTATTCACTCGGCTATAACAATAAAAGAATAATATGTCACTGTATTGTTTCTCTCTACTTACCCAAATTTCTTAATACCCTCGTTGTTACCTCATTACCGGTTCGGGCTTTCTTTTCCTATACGCCAGGGAATTAGAAATTGTTTCTGTATTAACATAATATGAGTTATATAACTTTTAAAGAAATCTTTAAACACTCCAAAGTTGTTTTCCATTATTTTCAGGTAATATAAGAGTTTTGTAAAAACAATATTATCGGGGGTGTAGCTCAGATGGTAGAGCGCTCGCTTAGCATGCGAGAGGTACCGGGATCGATGCCCGGCACCTCCAAATTTTTTTTGGTTATAAATTCCATTTTAACTATAAAACCATCACTTTCAGGATAAAAAAGAGAAACAATTTATTTATAATTTTCATTTCATATACAAATCTTACAACTCTTTATTTCTTGTTCTGTTTAGGATGGTACCTATTTGGTTGTAAATCCCCAATACCTAGTGGTTTTTGAAATTTGAGTCTGGTAAAAGTGGTCATTGTTGGTCACGAGTCCAGAGCTGGGCAGGGCTTCAGTGCTTTGTGCTTGTGAAAGGGCTTGAATCACTTTGAGGACTTGAAAAGCCCTGTGCTTCAAGCCATTTTATGTATTTGTAATTGGGGTTTGCAAAGTCAATTATTCTAGAAAAGTGCTTGGTAATTTGTAATTGAAAAAAGTAATTCAAGCACTTTCAATAAGCTTCAATTACTTTTAGAAGGCTTGAAGCACTTTTGGGTGCATGAAGCACTTTGAAAGGACTTGAAGCACTTTAAAAGGGCTTGAAGCACTTTGAAAGGAATTTGGCATTGACCATCATTTAACCTATCCCCCACCTAAAAATTTTCGATGTGTTTTGTCGTTTAATTTTTTTTTTCTATTACCTATTTGAACTAGAACCGTCCAATGTCTTTTCTCTCTTAACAATGGAGGTTTTGGGTTTGAGATCAGAATTGAATTAAAAAAAAATGAATGAAATTATTATTTAAATAAATAATTAATTTATATTGGTACCTACCCTATAACTTTATCACTGGCTTTTTTTTCACTTTTCTTCATTAAACATTCTGACAACCTTAAAATTGAATTACCATGTATTAGTACCCCAATTACCCCAGAACTATACATCTCAAAAAAAAAACTACTGCTACTCTATGAAATTTAAAGTTCATTACAATATACTAATTCAACTGATGAGTGTACGCGGTAGCTTATGCCACTTTGAGAATTTTATTACAAATTCAAAGTGCTTTAGGCAATAGTAGGCAACATTTAAAGAGCTTCAAGTACATTTAAAGAGCTTCAAGCACATTTAAAGAGCTTGAAGCATATTTGAAGAACTTCAAGCACATTTGAAGCACTTGAGGCACATTTAAAGAACTTCAAGCACATTTAAAGAGCTTGAAAGCACTTTTTAAGACACCCCAAGCACTTTTGATGTGCTTCAAGCAAAGCACTTTGAGGGCTTTGTGCTTGTGAAGCACTTTTGAAAATAAAAAGGAATTTGTGCTTGAAATTGAAGCACTTTGATAAAGGGCTTAGGGCTTAGTGCTTCAAGCCCTTTTACTGAGGGCTTTGCCCAGCTCTAGTCACGACTGTAGGTACATAAAGTGAACACCCCTACCTTTTCGCTAAAAAAATTTTTTTTGAAAAAATCAAGATAGCCATTTGGTTTATTTTGTTTCTAGGAATTTGAAAACGTTTTTCGAAATTCAATTGGATTTTTCATTAAAGCCCTCTGATCAAAAAAGCAGTGGCGGTTCCTCCATAAGAGCACATGTGCACGTGCACTCCCAAATTAATATCAAACAACTTTAAATTTAATTTTATCATTCTTCAAATTTTAACATTCTACCTGTAAAGTATTAATTTAAAAAATTAGTGGCCAAATGCGCCAGCAAAACAAACGCAACCGGCAACGCTGGAATCACAGCGTCCACCGCGTCGCTTGATCGCCCCCCCCCCGTTCACTGCACATTTCAATATTAAATGCAATTGGTGGAACTATGCCCCCCCGCACTCTTTGTTCCCCGCGAAGGTCTAGCGACGTTCGATGTTTTAAGCTGGCTGGTGTGCACATGTAGTCAGTGCACTTTGGGATCGGAATCGGTTGTTTTATATTTATTTCGATTTCGAGCGCGATTTAACTGAAAACTATGTGTAGAATGGCGGGATTTCTGAACCCCGATAGCCTTAGCGTGCAATATTTAAAAACAATTAAATTTTCTTCGCTTTCTTTGGAGGAAAAAATCCAAATCAAATGTGTCGGCCGTCCAAAGCCAAATTTAATAATCACCAACATAACAAAATGCAAAAGTCGTGATTATAAACGAACTTTTAAAATGGAAACTTACGAAAAAACTGACTGGTTGTGCGGTTGTGATGTTAGTAATAGTCTTTACTGTTTTCCCTGTTTGTTATTTGGAAGCGATGAAGCATCAGAATGGACAAAATCCGGCGTTAAAGATTTAGTACATTTATCCGAAAAAATTAAAAAACATCAAAACTCAAAATCACATCTTACTGCTAAGCTAGGATTTAATTTATTGGGCAAACAAGATATTCGGCAGCAATTAAATAGTGCATACCGATTAAGCATTGAGAAACATAACGAGCAAGTAAAGAATAATCGGTATGTCTTATCTAAAATTATCAACTGCAATAAATTTTGTGGTGCTTTTGAACTTGCTCTCCGTGGACACGATGAACAAAAAGATTCATTGAACCCAGGTATATTTAGAGGCCTTATAAATTTTTCTGCCGAATTGGACTTAGCACTGAGGGATCATTTGCAGCAAGCCACCGTGTTTAAAGGCACGTCAAAAGACATTCAAAATGACTTACTGGAATGTATGCTTTCGGTCTGTCAAGCAAATATCAAAAAAGAAATTGCTTCTTCAAATTTTGTTTCCGTTATGAGTGACGAAACAAGTGATATTTCAAATATTTTCCAAATGGTTATAGTTTACCGTTATACTCTACCAAACGGCACACCTGTTGAACGATTTTGGACTTTTATAAAACCAAATGATCACGATGCTGTTGCTTTAGCTGGCTGCATAGAAGAATCTTTAAATTATGTTTTAAAAAATCCTGATCAGTTAATCTCCCAAAGCTATGACGGAGCAAGTGTCATGAGTGGCGCCCATGGTGGTGTGCAGAAGCTTATTAAAGATAAATTTAAATATGCCCATTATATTCATTGTTATGCGCATCAATTGAATTTAATAATGTCTCAGGCGACAAGCATAAATGCAAATGTACGTATATTTTTTGCAGATCTGAGTGACATTACCAATTTTTTTTCAAATTCTCCACAAAGAGTGGCCATATTAGATGAAGTGGTTGGAAATAGGGTTCCTAGAGCATCTGCTACAAGGTGGAACTTCAAAATCAGAACCGTTAACACTGTTTATGGAAAAAATACAATCTACATCCAGACAATCTGATACCATCAGAAAGGCAGGTGCACTTTTAAGGTTATTACATGACCGTAAATTTGTTTTTTGGTTAACAGTGTTTCATCGTGTGATGCCCCACGTTGATATTTTATATTCACAGCTACAAAAAAGGGCAACTGATTCCGTAACTGTGAAACGTAACATTACTGAGTTTGAAAAAAATATCCAAAAAGAAAGAGATAATATACATACTATTAGAGAAATCGAGTTAGCAGATATTGATGAGAGTCAAGCTAGGAAAAGAAGAAAGATGGATGAGAGAAATTCCTTTGTTTCCACGACTGTACAAGCTAAAGAAGTGTGTGACACCATAATTGCAGAAATAAAAAAAAGGTTTTCATTCACAGGCCATTTGGAAATAGCACACTTATTTTCAGTGGAAAATTTTGAAACGTATTCATCAAATTTTCCTATGCAACATTTAGATTCAGCAGTTCGAAACTTTCCATTTTTGAATAAAAACAAATTAAAGACAGAATTGGAAATAATATACAGAAGAGGAGATTTTGGAGAAGTTTCTGGAGCAGTCCACTTTCTTAAGTTTTTAATTGAAAATAATTTGCAAGCAGATTTCTCTGAAACATTTTCAGTGCTTCAAGCGATTATAACAATGCCTATGACAACCGCAGAAGCGGAACGTTGCTTCTCCACATTAAAACGGATAAAAACTTTCCTTAGAAGTACAATGGGACAGGAGAGACTAACTGCCCTCGCAATGTTATCTATTGAGAAACAAATGATTCAAGAAATTCCAAATTTTAACGAACTGGTAATTGAAGAATGTATCTCAAAAAAGGACAGACGACTTCATTTTCAATACAAAACGTGTCTGTGAGAATTGTGAGATTGAAAACTATAATACATTTATGTATAAAAACAATTGTTAGACCAGGACGATGTACTCAGCGAGGTAAGTTACTTTGTTACTTAATTTCTAGTTTATTGATATAAGATCCTTCAATTTCCACGATTTGATAGACAGAAAAAAGTATTAAATTGAGCTTAGTTGGTTGTTTGGTAGGGTAGATATGAAATCCCTTAACAATATTTTTAATTATTGGTAGGTAAACACATCACATAACTCATACGATCACTTACAATAAATTATTTTTTAAAGGCCTAAAATAAACACTTCTGGGCGTGGCACCCCGAAAAATTTCGCGCCTCCGGCGGGCATCCCCCTTTCGGCATTTATTATGAATTACAAATTATGTGCACCCCCAATATGTTATACCACGAGCCGCCACTGCAAAATAGTTATTTGTATACCAAGGCCGCGAAGTGCCTTTTAGCGTACGTAGAGAAAAGTTATCGCCGAGGCCGCTTGCGGCCGAGGCAAGATAATCTCGAGGACGCTAAAAAGTTTCGCGGTCATGGTATACACACTATTTTTTGTGCAACCATGAAAATTATGTGGAATTATAGAAAAAATGTACTCCTTTCAACAAACATGTGGAACTAATTACCAGTTTGATGTATAACTTGGTGGCTATGGTGGCACAGCGTTTCCATGGATGTCATGGATGACATATTTTGCAAGTAAACAAATACACAAAAAATTTTGAAGGTTCTCAAAAAATCGTGAAAATATCCGACAGCGATACAGATGTTTCACTCTCTTGCACTCCTCCAGAGCTAAAAAATATGGTTCAATCAGCTATTTCTGAGTTAATACCTGGAAAACTAAGCGGCAATATGAAAATTGTTACTGCGAGTTCAAAA